CCCCGTCCAACTTTGTAAACGCTTAATCCAACCGTGTCCGTTGAGTGGTTGGATAATCGGCCGGCCTCACGCGCCCTTGGCCGTGCCGTCCGTGCCCTTGCCGAACTTACGCCGCACGACGCTCAAGAAGTTGATCTGAACCCAACACGAGAAAACGTTCACGAAAGGGGCATCCAGGGAAAGGGAGGCAAGAAACCAATGCATTGTGTTGTTATTCAGCATCATGTGTAGAGATCGCAAGGGATAAAAATGACGGTTGTACTGGTTCTGTTCTCCACGTAGTAAGGCCTTCCCCGCGCCTGAAGGAAGAGCGTGAGACAGGACGTTGGCAAGAGCTCCTTACACCACGACACACGTGAGCGCACGGTATACAAGCTTCCACACGATGGGGGAGGCCTCAGCCGCGAACAAAACACAACAATTCTTGCCGAACGAGCAAGGCAAACGTCTGCCCTCCAATTCTTCCCAGATTCGACGCGGGTTGCGCGCACCATAAGAATGCAAACACTACGCACACCCCTTGGCCCCAAACCCCACGCATGCCGTGCGGCAGCAACAGCTTTTGAGTAGCGCCGTCAACGTGGTTTCATGCCCGGCGCTCCCTACCATTTGCTCCGCGGCAACGCAAGCAGATGAACACCCACCTCCCTGCACCTCACATTGGTCTAACGACAACGGCATGCACAGCTATGAGTACGCCCCCGTGTACCCCACAAGGCCAATAATGGTCTACCGACTACGGGTATGAGTGCACCCCCCCCACCCACCCACCTTCTCGAAGCGGTCCTTGACGCCGCGGTCGAACTTGGGCGTCTCCACCGGGATGTACCGCCAGATGATGGCCATCATGGACCCGGTGATCGCCATCCAGACCACCGAGATGGCCGCAGGAACCCTCGCCTCGAAGGACCCGAAGTGCAGCTTGGCCAGGAGGAATCCAAAGGCGGAAGACTTCATGGAGGTCTCGATGGCCATCGTCCGGGAGGACACCTCGGAGAACCCCATCGCCTTCGGCAACTACTCTCCCGCGTTGAGGACGACACAGGAACACACAAAATGCGACGCGCACGCGCGGGCACAGGGACGAGAATGGGTAAGGCCAGCTTAGGTATCAACATCCCGGCTGCCGTGGAATACACATGCACCGTTTTTTTTTCATCGAGTTGGAACCATGGGTAAGGAATTCAAGGAGTGGGGTAATAACGACACTAGACATACCCCAGAGGCAGTCGAGGGGATTGGTGGACAAAGATAGCGTAGTGACCTCAACACACGAAACTCTCATCGGTGATTCTCACGCGCACCCCGCCGTCGTTAACAGTAACATGCAACAACAGGGAGAGGGAGCATGGTAGGAGCTGAGGGTGCTCACACAGGCCCTTTCTGTTCAAGGTGTGCATGATGATCCCGTCTCGTAAAAGAGAACAGGGTCGGGGCGTCGGTGATCTGAACTGCACATGTATGTTTGTGTGCACCAAGGCCATTCGAGCACACTTAGGGACACGTGCATTGTATCTCTGCATCCTGACCAAACTCAGAAACAATGGGCCGCATGTGATTCTCGGTACCCCCCCCCGCGGTCTGGCAACAAGCAAACCACCAGCAGCATCATGTCACTCACGAAGTATCCAATTAGCCCGCCAAGGAGATGAAGTAGGATGATAGGTATCTGGAGGGCTAAGCCCGCCGAGATTATCGTTGGAGCCACCTGCACGTCCCCCCGAGGTTCACCGCCCAAGCCCCAAAGCACCGTCCCAGCCGCGACAAAAAGCAAATCAGGCCGAAAAAACAAGGCGCGAGAAAGAGACCAGGTTAAGACCGCGGGCGGGGGGGGGGGGAAGGGCAAGGGACGCATCGCTGACAAAAAGAGTTGCGACGCGCAACGGAAGACTGGAGATTTCTAAACGTTGGCCCGATAGTAATAAGATGGCCCGCGAACGAGATATTATGTTCCACAAAATGGTGCAACGACACATGGCCGCACAAGTGCGAACATGCCGAAAAGCAGAGACGTGAGAACGGACATCGTGTCGTGCCAGCCTGAGGAAGCCATGGAACCACTCCAAACACGCAGACAAGACGCACAACAGGGAATGCTCGTCATCACAACAAAGGAAGCGACCAAAAGCTTAAGCTTGCCTGTGCGACGGCCGAGGCCACGAGGAAGCACGTTGACAACACGCCCACGACGGGGGTCACCGGGAGCACGGCCTTGACCACACCGGGGAAAAACTTGTTGGTCATCATGCCGACAATGATGGGCGCCAGCACAACCTGAAAAGGAAAAAAAACGCAGAAGCAGCCGTCACCGCCGGCATTAAGGAGGGCCACATTCAACTAAAGCGGGCAGCAGGGGGTTATTCAGAAGCCAACCGACATGTGCGCCGAAGATGACGCTGACTGTACAAGTATCTTACGGGTTGGTAGGTTAAGGTTGTTCGCGTACGACAACGACGTCTACCTTTCTCCACCCCTTCGGGCGAATCTCATATAACCTCGTCACTGCTGTGTATCGGACTTGCGAAACCAATCCGCCGCATGCACGTACATATGTAGCAAAAAGTGCCCTCTAGATAGCGTGATGGGCCAAGTGTCAAGCCAACAACAGGCAGGACATTTACATCGATTCACGGGAAACTACAAGCATGAATAACAAACCATTTGCATCTCGGGAGCGACGGCAATCGTCACGATATCCTAAAAGCACGGACTAGATCGCGACTTGCACGTACCTGAACGGTGGAGAAGGCGATGCCGACTGCGTCGACCGGGACCACCGTGCCCAACAGCAGTTTGCACAGCAGCGGGGTCATGACGATCGCTCCC